GTGTGTGTGTGTGTGTGTGTGTGTGTGTGTGTGTGTGTGTGTGTGTGTGTGTGTGTGTGTGTGTGTGTGTGTGTGTGTGTGTGTGGTCGCGCGCGCGCGCGCGCGCGCGCGCGTGGGGGGGTATATATATATAAAAACTATCATACTGCCTTCTATGATATTTTTAAATCTCATTCATCGCGTTACGTTACGCTACAGCACGTTACGTTGCGTTGCATTACGTTAGGTTGCATTACGTTACGCTACGTCATGTTGCGTGACGTGTTGTTACAGAAGCTCAATGGAGTCAGGTCGCCTACCTAATACGGCTTCTGGGTCAGATGATCTCAGATATACGTAGTGAAGCTGAACACAGCTAGATCCGTCGGTAGTAGACGTGAACTCTATCGAGTGCAATTCTGAGCACTTGGTGCATTCAGCCTGGCCTGCCTCACTAGTAATCGAACCTTCAGCAGTAAAATATTATATATATAAATAAATATATATATATATATATAAATATATATATATATATATATATTAGAAGTAAAAACACACGGACACCCATGTAGATATAGAAAATTATAATATAGAAAAATAGAATAGAAGTGTCAATTTCTATTTTATTTTGCGAGCTTTCGAGAACATGTGTCTCTTCATCAGGCTGTAAAACAACAACAGAATGATGTAGTTGAAAGTTCACATATAAGCGACAACACACGAATACTATTCAAACGTTAAGCAATCGTAGGTCCCTACCTATAGGACAGCGTACGCAGTCCCAGCAGCACTTCTTCTGTCCATATACCATCCTATAGCCTGGTTGACACTCGCGGCTACAGGCAGAGAACGGCACGCTGGTTTCGTGACCTGGCCACTCTATCTGGTCGACGTGTAATGTGAAGACGGGCACTGCCGGTCGCCCGTTCCACGCCCCTGTGACCATCTGGCCATGTTATACGTTGTTGCGATAAGGCGTGTTTCATGTTTCATTAGAATGTTTCATTAGAAGGGAAAGAGCCACAGCATGGCGTCAGTCGTTCGGATATCTACTATCGTTATTTTTAAGTCACTCATGGCTGATCTGATCTGAGTTGGGTAGACAACTTACATTCGTTTCGTGTTTGGCAACACTAAATTATTATGCTGAAACGTTAGTCTCTAGCCATAGAATAGTTAGATACTCCCTATTCTAGTACGTCCATTAAATGGTTATAAGCGTTATTAAACGAGCATTATGTTGAACAAATTACCTATGTACTTGTACGAATAGTTGTTGTCACTAGACGTTCGCATATTTGTTACTAGGTAACCGCCCTTCACGTCACCATTGGCGTCGAACTTCACTTCTCCCGTGTGACCAACAAACTCAACATTCTGTACGGCGTTCAGCAGCCGCTCTGGAGTTAATAGCGGCAGGTCAATCGGCGGAGGTATAGTCGTCATCTGATCATTGTCCGTGGCGATCTGCTCGGTGGTCTGTTTATCGGTTACACTAGAGGAAGACGCTTGCTTCTGATTCGCCGTACCTTGACCTGTGTCGCCACTAACGTGTTCCGTTGCGTGCAGTGGTTTGTTCTCTGTATTATCATGTTGCGGCGTTGCCATATCGTCAGTCGTAGCCTGTGTGTCTTCGTCCTCAAGTCGTAGTTCCGTATCTGCGGGGGTTTGGTGAATATTTTGACGAATATTTTGTGACGTTTTGGAAGCCGTGGCGCCCACCGGATCATTTCCTGTGGGCGTGAAATGTTGCTGCTCGGCGTCCCCGCTCTGTACAAGACCCTCCTCGGCTAGGATGGTGTGTAGCGCTTTAGCAAAGGCTAAGACAGCGTCTATGACATAGGGAGCATCGTCTATGGAATCGCTCATCAGTGCGCCGTGCTTCTGCACTGCTGGATTAGTCTCGTTGCCGTACGCGTCTGCGCAACTCGGGAACAACTCACGACGATCGCAGGAGAGGCATTCGTCTTGGGACCTCGCTTTCATAGCGTCTGGAATATACAATCTTAAGATGATTGCGGCAAAGAATAACCCGTTTAAATCTGATCAATTGTCTGGCAGGCAGAATAGCAGTAAAAACATAAAAATCCAAAATTATGTCTATTTTGTTTAAAAACGACATGCGCTGAGTATTGAATAAAACCGAGCAGTAGCAATTTTATTCAAGGCGATTAATAAAGTTATCTTACATCAACTACGATACCTGATAAGATCGAGTTCTTTTTTTCCGCTATACAGTTGTATTTTATCTTCCAGTATTCAGGAAACCACGGATTATGGGCGACGCTTTCAGCAACTGTCAGGTTGTTTAGATATTCCTGAAAATCCCGCTTATATATATTACGCTTATTATATTATTATATCACGCTTATATCGAGACATCTCACGATTTGAAGCCAACTGGAACACAAGCACCTGGGCCATTTTAAAAATAGAATGATAGTATCTAATTAAACACAAATAGTGTGTACCGCCAGTCTTAATGTTCACGTACTTTCTATCGTCTTATAATTCTATGTAAATTCCGTTCAAATACTGCTCTATAACACGCAATCTCACCGCATTCACGCCGCTGTGCACAAACTCACGAATTATAAAGCTTTTGTCGTTGATCGATATATTTTTCTGTGCGTGTATATATATACTAGCTATTACCCGTCCTCTAGACGGGTTTGAGTGGGGTATGATTTGAGGAAGACGGTTTAACCATTTATCTCTCCCTTTTAGTTGAGGATGTATTTACAGTAAATACTGATATGTATAGACTCGAGTCATATATCAATATTTGTTTAAAAAGATTGTATCTAAATATATATAAAATCTGAAATTTTTCCTTAAAATTACATACAATTTTTCAAATAAAGGGAAATGGGGTAATTTCATAGTACAATTTCACTTATTTAGATATTATTTTTGAAAATATCATTCTGGTACGAAGCATTATTAATAAGTCAAATTCTTAAAAAAAGCAAAATGCATTGAGTAGTTTTGAAGATATATGTTCTTGAAAGTCAGTGGACGGCGGCGGGCAGGGTTACACCTCCCGTTGTCAAATATTTGCACACACGCGCGCGCACGCACACACCACAACACACCGCATTCACACTACCACACGGGCAGATGCGCAGCACAATCACAAGCGGCACCACGCCACACACCAGTACCAATTTACACACACACTTACACCGCACATGCACTCACGTCAGCAGCAACGCATTAGCATACACACCACACGCACACGCACACGGCCACACCACGCATACATACATCAGACACACACGCACACCGCACACGCACACGCACACCTCATCACCACTCACGCCGCACACATCCGACACACAGCACCTTCACGCACACACGCACACCAGTCAGCACATACAACTTCAGCACGTCTATTCGTTGGGGTTTGTCTAAGATTTTCGTCTCACAACTGTGTGCGCTGGCAGGATTGGCTGTTTATACACCGCAGCCGCAATGTCTTTCGCCAGTAATGTGTGCGTCGTGTGCGCGCGTGCCGGGCATGGGCGTGCGGTGCTTCGTGGCTGCGTTCCGTGCGTGCGTCGCTTAGGTGGGCTAGCGCTATGCTAGTGGAGCGGATCCACCCTAATTATCAATGACTTACTTATTATTACCTTTAATCTAATTAGTATAGCCTTAATTATCATTAAAAACCCCGTGAGAAAACAGTTAATAGTTGTAACCACAATCTTCAAAAGGTTATGGTATATAAATGTGCGTTGTGTGTGCCTCTGAAACATCGAAACGGGTCTAAAAATGTCAGCGCGATGTGGGAGCGGGTACCGCCCTGGCCACGATTACACCTCCGTTGCCAAATATTTGCCACACACGCCGCACGCACCGAACACACCGCATTCAGCACACATACGGCCATGCGCACGCACAACACACCGGCACCCACGCCACCACACATACCACATTTACACACACGATACGCGCGCACACACATACACGCACACGCCACACGCGCACGCGCATGCAACGCCACACACACGCATGCATACTGACTCCGGGATCGAGATTTTTCGGGGATCGCGGAAATCGGCGGCGGATTTACAGTCGTCAGGGGCAATTTTGTTGAAACGTAAAATTCAGTTGAGAAAATTGCCGGGAGGTAGCGGGATAAGTGAATGTAAAAATGAAATTATCACCTTGAACAGTACCTGACAGCCTAGACACTGACAAGCAAAGGTCAACAAGCGTGCGTGTTACACGATATAGCGATGTACCGCGCTTGCGCTTAGTGCGTACGTCCGTCCATGGCAAGGCAGCGGTGCGATTGATGTACGGCTTCCTGCGACACGATTGCTTTTATGTCTTATGGCGCGAATGCGATGCCGTGTGGGCGCCTTGGAGGCGGAGAACGAAAGTAACAACCGAAAACCGGGAGCCTCCTCGTCCCATCGTTTCATCCTTAAGGGTTGATTAATTATTAAGGTGCGGACTCCTATTTCGTATGTCCCTGGTACTAGTGTACAGTATTTTGTAGTATTTTATGACATGGCACTGTGTGATATGTGTTATTGACAAATGCTGGATGTACAGGAAGATACCAAGAAATTCAAGTAAGTCAGGTTTGAAAAAATTATTGAAGGTTGAATTCTTAGACTTACTTCAAGCCGTCTTCGTTCCACGCCGTGATCTTGGACGTTGCGTATAGGACGGATTCACATGCCCTTCTGATTTAATGACTGCGCATGCGGAGATTTTGCCGATTTTAAAATTTTGGTGCGGGTTTCGATGAGAGCACGTAAATTACAAAAGGTGATTCACGTACTCTGCTTTGCCGACTGCCGCATGCGGATTTTGCCGATCTAAACGTAGCGAATGTTATGCGCGACGCCCAGAGGGGCCCAGGCCGATTCGCGGGGAGCCACGCGGCCACGGTTTCGGAGGAGATACGGAAAACGACACTTCGGCTCTTTCTACTATTATATAGTAGATACATACACATTGGCGTGCATGCGGTTAGGTCGTGTTGTGGTGAGCGAACTACCTGAACCGAATTTCTGTGGAATTAGTAGTTAATCGTGAGTATATTAACATCGCGAGCTTGGTAGCAATTACAATGTGTGTTTAGTTATTGAAACTTTAATATTGAAACGGCCCAAATGCCCGTGAATGCCCCGACGTCATGATTCCATGATGAATCTTCGTGCCTGAACCAAGAATACAGTCATATAGTCCCGCCATATATCAGCGACGTTACATCGGTCAATACCTTTGGCGTGCCCAGTCACCGTGAGCGCGGGAGGGGAACCTACTGGAAGTGGATAGGCTTTGGTGCATCCAGCGTCAGACCGAGGAAGCCCTGCGCAGCGTGCACGTGCTGCTCAGCTATGGTTTTTGTCGTCGCCCATGTCTCAGATGCGATCCAGGTTATCCCAGTCAGGTTCGCTGCACTCGCCTCCTGCGCGTGACAAACAATAGACTAGTACCGCGTCCCTTTACTTTGATGATAGACCTTGTGGGTCTAAAGCGCTATTTGCGAAGCGAACAGCTTACCAGTCTCGACAAACAATGGATGGTCGTCAGGTTTCGTCGGTTTGTCAGCTTTCCAATTTCTTGGCTTCGTATTCATCCTACTAAGCTGTATATAATAACTGGAGGACGCAGGCATGTTTACTGCACACAAATACAATAAAGCAGCAGCGCTATATTGCAAGTCACATGGACTGCCAAAATTAGCTTCGTTAATATATTAGGAAATAGTGATATTTTAAGTAAAATAAATAAATAGTATATAGAATACATTATAATAACATATTATTATTATAATAAATAATATATAATACGTACTTGTTGATAATAATATATATATATCATTATTTAAATAACGTTATATCGCTATCAACGTTTATATCACTGCTAATACAAAAGCGTTACTATATAACGTTATGTTATGGTTTAAATACACATGCCCACACGCATAAGCAACACACCACACACACACACAACACACACACACACACACACACACACACACACACACACACACACGCACGCACGCACGCACGCACGCACGCACGCACGCACGCACGCACGCACGCACGCGCGCGCGCGCGCATAGTACGTTAAGGAAGAATAGTTAATATAATAATACAGATCAGTGATTCATTCTCACCGCAAAGACCATTTGATTTATAATAAAATTTTAATTAGGCTTAATTTCGCCGCAATGATAACAAAAGAGCAATTTTCACTTCTATGATGACATTGCTTAATTCGCCGGGTTGATATTTTGCTACGGGTGTTTCAGGCAAATTTGCAAATTCGCATACTTCCGCGTCTTACGGCTCTCCCCCGGAGGGTGGGGGGTACTCCTATTGTTAAAGATAGTACTGGGGACGTGCTGCTGGCCAGGGTATAATTTTCTAACATCTTTCTTGGCACAGGGTTATCTAGATACACACCCATCAAGCTGATATTTGACCAATATTGGCAAAATAATATTGGGCCAATATCACCAGGCCAATATTAGACCAATATAGACAGATATTGGTTCAATATAGGCAGATATTAGTTCAATATAGGCAGATATTGGTCCAATATCGGCCCAATATTGGCGAAACAATATTGAGCCAATATCACAAGGCCGATATTGGACCAATATCTGCCTATATTGACAGGACAGGACATAACCGAAATGTGCAATATTGCAACAGGGTATACTTTTTAGTGCAGTATATTGGGACAGGGTATACTTTTTAGTGCAGTATATTGGGACAGGGTGTATTTTAGGGCGCAAAGCGGTTTGCACCAGGGTCAGGTTTTCAAGGTCCCCGAGGCACCCCCCCCCCTACCCAGTTTCGAAGCGAGTGCTCCCCCCGGGGGGAGGGGGGCTCTCCTGTCCACCGAATTTGTCAAGCCTTTATTTTTTGCTTGTCGTAAGATAGCGCCATCTCGTATATATTGACGATATTGCTAATTAATTCACACGCCTTGCTTAAATACAAGTCTGTCGTTTACTTGTTTGGCTTAGAGTCAAATTTGTACAGAAAATTTATAGCTATATACATCCTCTTCTACCGTCATTGAACAGAGTCGCTTCAGGGAATACTTCTATGCAATTTGTCAGTGTTACCCCAAAGCGGGCCTCAGGGCGAACACTGAGGGTGATCACTGCTAAGTATTTTCGCGCCCTTGATGTTGGTTTTACGTTCACTATTACTGGGCACTTTTAACCGATTATTATATTAGTTATATATTAGCCGATAAATGTGCACGGAATTAATATCGGCTCTTCCATTAGTTACCTTAAGCGATTGCGTGTCTGATTTTAATGCGTCTTGTTTGATATAGCTATTCTCAGTACTATGTGTACCCGTTATTACTATGCTTGCCTCTCCATATTACGCGTGCCACTTATCCCGCCTCATTCCTACTTACCTCGAAAAAGTCTGGGATTGTTTTCTCGGTTGTAATGAGCACTACGACGCCCGCCTTCGGTTTATAATCCACGAGACGTGGCACGATATTCGCGAATGCTTCTTCAGAATTGTGGGGAGGAAAAACCTCGTCGACAGCGATGCAGAAGTTGTTGTACTGGAGGTCCTTCTTAAGTGGCTCCATGCCTTTTTAGTAGATTATATACCAAACGAAGTAAAACGGCGCATGTATATATTGCGTAGGTGTATGTTTATGAAATATTTATCATCTATATGACAAGCCGCTGACAGTTATGTGAATATCTTCATAGAGATTCTGTTTAAAAAAACTCTATGCTCAGTCTGAAGTTTTTATACCTATTGCCGCGTATAGTGATCTAGTTGAATATGGATACCGATGTGTAACCTGGAATCAAAAGCCCATAATAGTATAGTAGGCCTATTATTGTTTCTTAATATAATGGTATAAAGGTTTAAGCGGCTAATAAGTAGCGAATGGCTAACTCACTCATTCTTCCGTACGACGTATCAATGGCAAGGGTTGATATTAGAGTCCAGTTAAATGACTTTATCAGGTCACCCATTGCCTGCGTCTGTTGTGTGTCTGATGGAGTGGTTCTGGAAACCAGGTAGTTGCATCGTTAAGTTGAACTTTTTCCTTAAGATTTTCCGGCCTAATCCAAACCTCAACCAAACTCTAACCTCAGCCATATCCCATCTGTCACGCACCATTATTTATCTATCAGATGCTCCGAAAAAAAAACAGGTTTTAACTAACACCGTATGGGATTAACTTTGCTTATAGTACCTATTATAACTATAATACCTAAACTTATAACATAGAACGGATTTCTGTTAGATAGAATCGCAATATGCTAAAATAAAAAAGTAGAAGCCACAACTTGGCAACGGTGCACACAACCTTTCCTCACACTGCGTCTGCTCACCTAAGAAATGATCTGAACTTCCATTTGTCGCTGAGCACAGAGCTAGTAGCAGAGTAGCTGATTTGCGGGATGGAATAAACCCCAAGTACGTTAGCGACTGCCATCGACACTTGCGAGTCTCCTGCTCCAACCACGCCGAGGAAGTTACTCGCTAGCTCAGATCCGCCATTTTGGCAGCAGGTGTAGCCTGACAGGTGGACGTCACCGACCGGGTCGTTACACGGTGAGTAGACCCCTGATTTAACGAATTTAAAACAAACTTCATTATTTCAGTAATTTAAATTTTATTCTGAGGTAGATACGTGCACATGATGTCCGTCCACTGCTTTTATAAACAATTGCTATACTGTATGCGGAATTTATCTTGCGCAGGCAACGAGCTACGCACTCGTTTTGGTTTCCAGATAACGTGTAATGTAAATGCAAATATTAAGTCATCGATGCACTGTCACTAAGCACACAACGTAGGCGCTACGGAACTTGAATTTGTTCAGCAATGGTTTATTTCGTTCGATAAATTTTACAAAACATCACCCCGTAAAAATCAGCTAAGCCATTGGAAATTATATAGTCATATACTACATGCACTGATAAGAATTAAGCAAATAAAATAGCATATACGTTACTAAATAACACTGCATGCCAATCGTATATATCATGGTGTAACGACGTACAAAATAAACATGTTCTTTTCCTAAGTATATTTTACCTTTTTTTATTAACGTTATTACCGGTGAAGTATATGAATTACCCTGCATACAGTTGCAAACCAGTTCGAAAAAGGCGACCACTTTACTTATAACATTGCGAAAACACGGGCGATAAAGCAGCTAGGCTTGCTAATATTTTATGAGCAGGCTCACCTGATGTCGTATCGTTCTGAGGCGATATATCGCTCTTGCCGCTCTTCACAATATTCGTGAAGTAAATGCCAGCAGCAGTTCCTCTATCCATGTTCGCACAGTCATCTAATAGCCTGTAACCGAGTGTGACGCCGGGCAGGATAGTAGAATTTGCGTTGATGTGCTCGATGGCGTATATCATCGCCTGCATCCGAGCAAGACCTTTCTCGTCCAGGTTAAGACATTCGTTCTTATGTACGATGTTGTGAACGGGAAAGACTCCGCCAATGATGTAGTCGCCATCTTGAAAGGCTATCGTATCACTGATGTCGAACGGGCTTACCATCCGAGTGTATCCCCCGTGGGCCGACAGTAGGAGTAATAAAACGGCGGAAAGACAACGACCGATCGCCGGACATCGAAACATATTTGGAATGAATATTTGCCACATATCCGTGGATTTGAAAATTACCTGCATCTTTATAAACATTCCGTGCGCTGTGAGTCTGCGATAAATGAAGGCACGAAGCGTTCGGCTGGCGCAGGGTTTCACGCAGGAAAATGTCAGCGCTCGCTTAAGTAATAATGCACCATTAAACTATTCATTATCACGATGTGGGAGCAACGATTTCGTTGCGGGGTTCGCGCGAAGGTTGCACGCTTTCTATAACTATGCGGTTGGCTATCTGCACGTACGAATTACTAAATCTATGCATGTGAGACATATGCTAATACTGCTGCTCGTCTGACAGTTCGCTCGGGTTCTTTATCATTTCAGACGGTAGCAGAAAGAGTACTATCCGAGCGATAACCCAGCCGAAGAAGGCGGGCGCCGTGAACAGGATGATGTAGCGCCACCACTCGAACGTGCCCATGCCTACCGACTCAGACCGGTGCGACGTCCTCCTAGGTCTCACCATCGTCTGCTGCTGACGCTGCCGCCGCCGCCGCCGCTGCTACTGGCGGTGATGGTACTGCTGCTGTTGCTGCCGCCGCCGCTGCTGCTATTGGCGGTGATGGTACTGCTGCTGTTGCTGCTGCGACTACTCGCAGACTAATTCAATATTTGAACAGTGAGGCTGCGCGGCGGAATATTCAAGCGCCCTGGTGACGGCTTTCGGTGGTAACCTGGATACGGAGAAGCTGCTGTCGAATCCTTGTGGCCTGCTGTATACGGTTAAGCAAGTGTGAAATTGATGACAATAAAATCAAATTGAGCGTAGGGATTACGTATAAATTATACAGAATTTTCATTTTAAAAATTGCTGGCGGAATGTATATATATTGGTGGATGGATGGACGAATAGACGAACGGACGGGCGAAAGGACGGACGGACGGACACACGGCTGGGCAGTTTGATAGACTACATGCTGCGTTTTTTAGCTAGCCCGTTCTGGCATGAAGAATTTTAAGGAAAGAACCGTTTCTACATCGATGCAGCGATCTGCATTGAATTCAACTTCTATATCCAGTCTCTGCTTATGTTACGCAATTAACTTAATGCAATTATAAATGCAAAGGTGCGCGCAGAGGTGAATAAATACGCACCGGTACGCTTCTATATAACATTGTGCAACAACACTGTTTATAAGACCGAATTATACGAAGACACGAATTATACGATTGACACGTTATAATATCTTATCCGAGGCGATGAGTAATAAGTCGCACTCGTATGTATAACGAATATCTCTTCATTCGTAATTACCTGTAACTTGTCAATGTACACTCCTCTGTGACCAAATTGCCAACGCTTCTTATAATACAACTGGTGCTAACCGGTGTACGTGAAAACTGCGAGTTCTCATTTAGTTAAAGTACGTGCCGTAGACTGCGTTTTAGTGCATGCATGCACATTACAGGTATAGGCCTATACTCAATCCGCATATCGGTGTGCACGGCCTCGCGCATCTGCCAGGTGTTATAGCAGCAGTTGAGCAAACATTGCTGTGGCAGGACTTTGAACACGTTCTAGAGGTACACTAGGCTACGTGATAACACCCCAATCTGATGATGGGGGAAGAATTGTCCATTTAGGAACCGAAAATTTAAAATGGCTTCTGCGTAGAAATATGCGTGCTTATTTAAAGATGCGATTCGACTATTGTGACGCATTGGTCAAAGAACTAAAACACGTGCTAATTGATAACGTGTATGGGTAAGACAGCTTTACCCACCGTTTCTAAAGAAAACGGACAATTAAGTCGTTTGGCCACCACTACGTATCACATGCGCTATATCACGTATACGGTAAAGACGGGTAGGGATATAAATTGTTTACTGTAAAACTAATAACTAACACGTGCTCTCTACGTTAATTGTATTTCAATAAAATTACTTTTTTAAAAGAACTCTTTTTAAATGTTCTATAGGTATGTACGGGCACAGATTTAACCACAGTCTATAGTATAAAGGACTAATTCGGAAAGACTCGGTACCTTATAACGAATAAAATAGGACGCTGAGACGGAGTTTTTAATATTACAATACTACTGAGTATGCACTTACTAGTTTAAATGTCTTTAAATCGGTTGAGATATAGTGGACATACACAGACGCAATACTAAAGTGAGATAATAAAGTAGACGTGGATTTTATGTCGAAGTTCTCGTGAATATCTGCTCTCTGCATTAAATGTATAATTGCAACGAAGTGATATTTTTGGCAGATAGGCCTATCAGACATGCGCTAACACAATCTAGCCATTTCTATACTACAGAGAAATACGCAATGCATGGGCGGCTGAGAAAAGCTAAACCAGTTTATAAGAGATCCATATTTTCCCCACTTTCCTCACTATTCTTGTAGCCTACGAACTACCATGACTGACTAAAACAAATATCAAATTATATTTGACATATTATCTATGGACGAAGGGCTTGCACGACTGGGTCATCTCTTTATGATACAGCGAACATCTCGCGGTCACGGTCGACTGAAGCTGACGATGTATTATAATTACCTTGCCAATGCTGCCTGACGCCTGCGCTCACGATGTGTTGCGTAGTAATTGGCTGAAGGGGTCGTTGTCGTATAGGGTACTACATATATGTACCCGAGGTACATATATGTATACATAAATGTAATATAATGCTAGTCTAGGGAGTCGCCTACGCCTACTCCCTAACCCTAACCATAACCCTAACCCTAACCCTAACCATATCAGATAGTTACCTCGGGTACATATATGTAGTACCCTATACGGCAACGACCTTTCGTGCCGTAGTAAGGTAACGTGCTCGACTGGGCGTTGGTGTATAGCGTGTTTACGGCTGTTTAGTTAGGTTTTGGTGGTAATGGCCTCCCATAGTTTACACCTGTTCTGACCTGGATCCACATACAGGCTTGTACAGTTTGTCATGGCGAGGGGATGGTATACGAGCATGACGCATTATTGTGCCGAGTAGCATAAATTATGTTGTGTAAACGTGTTCACCCGCGTTTTGTGATGATCTCTGAAATCAGGCTGGAAGCACGTTGCCATACTGTGTGATTTGTTTTGCGAAACTTACGTACTCGGAAGATCTCGCATATCTCCAAACATGGTGACGAAACGGATTTAATATGAGTTACAATAGCAGTCTTTCGGCACTGGGCGTCTCGCTCATATTTCTGACTCTACAATGTATTATCGTCAAACGGTGTTCCCATGCTCTACGGTGTCCAGAGTCTTGCAAGTGCTACAACAACTATTCACTAATCAACTGCAGCAACACCGGTAACTTAATTAGTGATACGAATTGTGCACGTAGGAGTACTTTCACTTTCTATTCATAGCATAAATCCTAATCTGCATATATATTACTGTAGTTACTGTTCCCCATCAAGTGTTAACGAGTTTACAATAGTCAGGGATGGTAGGGCTAAAAAATGGCCGTTTGGTTCACATTCTTCCAAAAGCACCAAATTTGGCCCAGATGTTGCCCATACCATACTTTTTCGATTTCTGGCAGGCGCCGGAATGGGCGCCCCCCCCCCCGGGGCCGCCATATTGGCAAATTCCAATGTTAGTCAAGGGGCAGATTTCAAAAAGAGCTAAAATAAGGATGAGCCTAAACTTTTTGGGTAGAGGCTGAAAACGGGTAAATATCATTTCTATGATACTTGGGGAGTTTCACTGGGTATGTTTCCAGGCTGACTTTTGCGTATTGTGGCGGCCATCTTGAAATCCAAAATGACCGCCAGCGAAAATGGATTTTCTGAAATATCTGGACTCCCAGACGTCGTAGAGACATAATGTTGGTGGCTATACCCACATTTTCGATAGTGGAGAACCCAATTATCACACTTAGAGAAACATAGGATGGCGGCCATATTGGATTTCAATATTGCCGCCAGTGAAATGTGTTTATTTTGAATAACTAGACTCCAAGACGTCGTAGAGACATAATTTTGATGTCTAAACCCACATTTTCGATAATGGAGAACAGAATTATGACACTTAGAAAAGCATAGGATGGCCGCCATCTTGGATTTCAACATGGTGGTATATGTTACTCCATTACTATACAACAGTCTAAGCCAACATAAAAACATATATAAGCATACCAGAATTGTCAGAATATGTAGTTTTAAAACAGTCACACCCAAAGAACATTGTTGTATGAGTTCATGCAGGCCATGTTGCATTTGCACGCACCGGTGCAGCACATATTGTTTTTGGTACATGTACAGCTACGTGTACGGCAACAAGGTCCGTCCTTACTACAGCCACATGTCTTTATTGCAATAGTATTGGCACGAAATGGATTCAGTGTCATGAGCCGTGGTTTCAGAATGCCATCCTGCATATACCAACCGCAGTCAAATTCCGAAGGAATGCTCTGAGTACTACCTACACACTGGTTCCAAATGAGGCTCTGATAGTGGGCTCGATGACAATGTAGTATCAGTGCGTCGTTCGTTGGTGGCAAATAGTCAATATTCGTCTTGCATTGGAAGAACTTTGACAAGCGAATCTCCTGTATGACTACCAATGTTGTCGTTGGATCATACAGTTTACATATAAATGCTTCCACTGATGATAGCAATTAATCTAGGTGATAGTGGTAGATTCTGTTCCAATCCATGAATGCGATTTGGATCTTCAATGAATACTTTCCATTCAGCGTTTTTAGAAATTCCTGCAAACTGACTCGTCGTGTCACTTCCCGTTAGCGCATGAAAAGCTAACAATCTCTTTCGAGTGTTGTTGTTTATTGCATTGTCATGAACTCTTATCATCCAAGAAAATTTTGAAGTTCCTGCCTTCATCCAAACCTTCTGCGACATCTTTGCCGAAAACACTGTTAGCATCATTAACACATCGGTATCCCTGCAAACTACAATCGTTCGCTTATATCCGTGGTCTGCAGCATCGCACGCATGAAGAACAATTCGCGTGTCAGCCTCCTCGTGGTTTGCTCAAAGTGTTGACACATCACGTTCCGAGGTACATATCGTTTTCGTTATTTCCGTAAACCCTCCACACACAATTATCTTTTTTCCGCCAAGTTCACTAGAGATGATCAATTCCTCTGACAAGAAACGAGCAAGATCGGCTTTGTTTTCAGCGAGAGTGATAAATGTCTTCCAGTTCTGAGGGAGTTTTGTGTGTTTACCTGTAATCAACCGCCTAATTTGTTTTGTCCCTGATCGTCGTCTTTCTCGTTCTCGTCTTTTTCGTGTAGTATTCTCCTCGTATCGATCAAATATAATATCTATCCTGTCTGAATTTCTACCGTGTGACTTCACACAGTTCACAAACACATCTGCTATAAGTCACCAAACGTAACTGCTGTTGTCGGTTTTCCAATGGATTGTACCACTGCCATACCATCAATAATGGTACATGTTTTAACGATACTATGTCACTGATAGGAAAAAATCTGGCTGAAATGCATCTTTCGACAGAAATATTTATTAGTCGCGATTTGTCTGCTTTTCCGGAGAGAGAGAGAAGAGAAGAGCAGAGAGAGAAGAGAGAGAGAACCAGAGAGGGGAAGGTGTGTATGTGTCAGAGAGAGAGAGAGGAGAGAGAGAGAGATAGAGAGGAGAGAAGAAGAGAGAGAGAGAGGTGTGCGCGTGTGTTGTGTGTGTGTCGAGAGAAGAGAGAGAAGAGAGAGAGAGGTGTGCGTGTTTGTGTGTGTGTGTGAGCAGAGAGAGAAGAAGAGAGAGAAGAGAAAGTAGAGAGAGAAGAGAAGAGAGCGAGACGCAGAGAGAGAGAGAGTGTCATGTGTGGTGTGTGTGTGTGTGAGAGAGAGAGAAGAGGAGAGAGAGAGAGAGAGAGAGAGAGGTGTGCGTGTTTCGTGTTGTGTCGGACAAGAGAGAGAGAGAAATCACGAGAGGGAGTGTGTATGGTGTCAGAGAGAGAGGTGTGTGTGTGGTGTGTGTGTGTTTTGTGTGTGTTGAGAAGAGAGAGGTGTGCGTGTTTATGTTGTGTGTGTGACACAGAGAGAGAGAACCAGAGGGATGCAGGCATGCTCAGCCGAAAAGCCGTTGGAGCGGCAACGTGCATACTGAACGTTGGCCAACGTTGTCCAATATGGACGTTGGGCCAAACCTTGGCACGCTAGAGCAAAAAAAGCCGTTGGGCCAAACGTTGCTGTCTGACGTTGGGCCACGTTGTCAAGATGAACGCTTGAGCCAACGTTGGCACTACCTTGCAGTACGCCTGAAGCAAAAAAGCCGTTGGGCGCCAAACGTTGTCAATATGACGTTGACCACGTTCAGCACGCTGACAGCAAAAAAAGACGTCTGGATCAAACGTTGGCAAATATGACGTTGGGCCAACGTTGGGCCAATGTCGTGCACCGTTGGGACCAATGTTGGCTCGCCAACGTTGGCCGCCAACGTTGGCACGGGCTGAGTATAAGAAACGTTGGATCAACGTTGGCGTCTGACGTTGGGCGCAAGCGTTTGTTTTCATATGATCGTTGCCAACGTTGGCTGACTGCCGTTGGCCAAACGTTGGGCCAACGTCCGGCCCACCGTTGGGCCCCAACTAATAGGCACGCTGAGCAAAAAGACGTTATCAACGTGCCTTAGTCTGACGTGAAGGCGAACGTTGGCAATATGACGTTGAGGCCAACGTTGGGCCCAACGTTGGCCCAACGTTAGCATCGAAGCTGAAGGACAGCTCGTTTGGCCCAACGTCCAGCATGTTATCTGGCGATTAAGCCGTAAATGTTCGCCGCTAAAGTCGCTGTTTGCTAACAAGGTACACACTGCAGGAGGAGAACCTATGGCGTCAATGAAAATGTGGTAAGACAACCCGACAAAATTATGCCTCTACGATATTAGTGAAATTTTAGTTATTCAAGAACAAAATAAACCAAGTTTTCATTAGGGGCGGCCATCTTGAAATCCAAGAATGGCCGCCCATCCTATGGTTTTCTAAAAGTGTTATAACTTTGGGTTCTCCCATATCATCGAAAAATGTGGGTTTAGACACAAAATTAGAATCCTACGACGTCCTTGGAGTCTAGTTATTACAAAAAAACAAATGTTGCACTGGCGCGCGATATGTTGAAATCCAATAGTGGCCGCCCTTCCTATGTTTTCTCTAAGTGTGATAATTTGGGTTCTCCACTATCAAAAATGTGGGTATAAGCCACCAACATTATGTCTCTACCACGTGTGGGAGTATCCAGATATTTCAGAAAATATCCAATTTTCGCTGGCGCCGTCATTTTGGATTTCAAGATGGCCGCCAACAATACGCAAAAGTTCAGGCGCTGGAAACATAGCCCAGTGGCAATCTCCCCAGGTATCAATAGAACAATGCATATTTACGCCGTTTCAGCCTCTACCCAAAAAGTTTTAGGCCTCACATCCTTATTTTAGTTTGAAATATTGCCCACTGACTATAATCAATGTTTTTCGCATATAATAGAACAATATATCACACTCCGTTTTTTTTGAGCTAAATGATGAGCCATAGTTCACAAGAATGCGCTTAGATCTCTCCTCGAACGATCTATAAAGACTCATCTATTGTGGTAACGCATAGAAAAACCGATTAAGGGAAAAGCCAGATTAGAATGTTTGAGTTAACTTTTGGCTTCAATGCCATTTAGTTACCATATTATAATTAAATCACAGGTGGAGTAGATGCTAATAATGGAATTCTGTGCTGTTCTGTTTCTACAATTACAAACATTAACCAAACAAAAACAATTATTGTATAATATTTGTTATCTGATTGTAAACACTACCGAATTGTAAATTTTAGCAGAGAAAATCAACATGGCCGGCCCGGTCCCGCTGCGAGGTGCCTGTCACCGTAGCATAACTGTTTGCTTGGCCACTTGATGACCGCCCAGCCCGTACTGATCAAGCACATGTAATGGTCACCAAGGGCCAGTGAATATCAAATCTTTTTAAATTCAACAGGTAGTAAAATACCAATAAATGTGATGAACAGCATCGTATTCCTCCCTTGTAGGTGTAAATGGCATTTCCTATATGATAATAATAACAATTACTAACTGTTGCGTTGAGAATCAAGGTATCTGAGACTGGAGCGTTGATGTTTCTCAGTCCCCTCCCCGTCCAATATCTATGTCCCATCGGCCAATTAAGGCGAATGTGACAAATAAGAAGCTACGATCTAGAACATAATAGGATTCTCATGTAAATTTTTCCAAAATGAAAAATACTCAGCCATGCAGGGACACTGGCTAGCTCTTACACACATGTGAAATCGCTCGGATTAAATTGCAAACCGAAAAATCATTC